AGCGAAGGATTGGCCATCCATCGAAACTGTCATCGAAGATCGGCAAATTGCTTTCGTTTCGCCAACGCGATAGGTTCCGGTGTTTAACGGCGCGCGTCGTGGTAATTTCAAGGCAATTAGGATATTCGTGGGAACCTCTTCATTAAAGAAGCGTTAAAAGATGCGACGCGTAGCCTTTGGAATCGCGTTGGCAGAAACCGGTCTCCAACGGCTACGAGATATCTGACTATTTGATTGGATTAAAGGAAAAACAACGCGTTCCTGCGCGTTCTTATACATATTCTCGTGATTCGTGAACGCGGCTTTACCGGCCTCGAGTTCGAAGCGGTTCGAATTTCCTATCGTTCGAGCCGGTCGATCAACTAACCGAGTACAAATTTGTCGCGTAATCAGGTAAAACGGATCGGTTCGCTATTATCTCTGATCGAAGCTCATTCGGTCGCACGAAGCTTGGATAGTCCGACACGAACACCACCGACCGATGGACGAGTATCGATTTTGCGTCCTGTTACGTTGGTCCGTTGTTTCTCCTTCGTTAATCCATCGACTAATTATTATTTAAACAATCCGCGATACGCGATTTATCGGCCTACAATTTGACTCGATATCGAATAACGAACGTTCGCAGATACCGGATTATCCGTTTCGAGCAATCGCGATTCTTATCCAAAGTCGATTCGTTACTCGAAACGTTGCCACGAGCGAATTCGGATCGTATCTCGAATTCGAACAGGGTTTAGACTCGCGGCTCTTTTGGCCTAGCAACGTTAGACTAGATTCGCATCGAACCTTTACACGAATAAAACGGTCGAAATTAATTAAGAGATATCTTCCGGAGACGCGAACGAGGCTCGCTCGTGGCTCGAAGCACGGAGGATTGACGCGTGCCGCTGACACCGACATTGGCGTACCTTGTAAAATGTCAAGTGCACGCGTGAATGGACGTTTCTCTTCGTCTTGGATCGACCCAATCTCCGTCTTCGCTTCCTAGAATTCCTAGAATAAGGGACAGCTCGTTTGCGAGACAATGCCCCGTTCTAAAGAGCCGTTAACGGTCATCGCGAATCTTAGGACATAGGTCACGAAGTTTTCCAACATCGAGAACACTTTTCACGCGGTTTAAAGTAATTAGCGCGATTCGATATCGCGACGCGGTTAACCTCAATAGAGATCGTGTCGCGATAAGTGTCTCACGGGTTAATAATATCGTCGTTGTCAGCGTATGATAATTCATGAATAAAGTTATTATATAACGTATAGTCTTGATTACGTGTCTGTTTGTTGCAGAGGGCCATTGTTATTCGACGGGGTTGTGTATCGCGCACCGCGGTAATCACAATGGCGCTAATAACAATTTACTCGTGTAACGGGGATCCTCTGGAGCCGCGCGTGCTTCTTCAACCTTTCCGAGGATTTTCCTTTCGAGTTAAGAGCTGCGGATGAATATTAAAATTCATCCGAGTGGAGCGAACGGCCACGTTTCGCGACCCACGCCGGAAATGAACTTCCTTTCCAAAGTAAATCGTGAAAATACTGTTTCTCGTAATTCGATCATAGCAGGGTTATAATGCTTGAAAAGTACGCAAACACAAAGGAGGTTCGAGACGTATTCGTGCGAAGAATGTCTATGAATCGTTTACACGGACGATTTATTCACGCTCGAAGCTTCAAATTTATGCGACACGAATGCTATTTTACGCTACTTTTGTACGATGAAATCGTGACGCTTCGATTATACGCTTCGAAATCGGTCATCATTCGTTGCGACTAGCGGTCGATCATTTTATACGAAGGACATCGATGAACCGTTTACACGGTTATTCTCCTTGAACTCGAAACTTCGAATCCATGTACCGCAAGTGCCATTGTACGGTACTTTCGTGTGACAAAGGCGTCAGAATGTATGGGTCGTTCGACGCGAAACTTAATATAGCCTAAATCCAGAGACGCATAATCGTCGGGAGGTCCGCGCGAAACGGAACAGTTAGCGCGCTAGCTAGTTTATTAGCTATCGAGTTTTCGCGTAAGGGACGATATTCTTTCGAAGAGTCCGCGTATTCGTTCTCACAGCCATTCCTATGCCTGTAACCCAATCCAATTTAACCCGGCAACGAGATACGAAAACTCGACGTCGCTCGGTATACGCTCGTTGTAATTCTTATCTCCTTATCAGTCGAGACAGTGCAGTATTTCGTTGTCTACGTCTTTATCGTGGCTTGATTTTATAACGTTACTCGTTACACAGCTAGAAACGTTTGCCGCGGCGATAAAGGTGCGAACAAAAAGATCTTTTGTTCTTCGATCGCGGGAATCTCGGATGAATTTCGATAACGCGCGGACGACGAAAACGGCACGGACCGTTTTAGCTCGAAAACGTTTTAGACCGTATCGAATTCGACACCGGATGTAAAGTCTTCGTCCTGTTTCCTCGACTATTCTTCTCTAGCCTGTACACGATAGTAGGTAGAAGACGGGTCAGACGAAACGAGCCGCGGGGAGAACGGTTTCGAAAACGCAAACTCCCGCCGCGATTTCCTGCACGATCTACGAATCGTTCTTGGAAAAAATTCATCGGGGTGGTCCAGCTTTGTCACGCTATCGCTTTCGGTGCTTCGGGTTCGCCGCGATTACGGTGCTCTTTCGAAACACAATCGAATTATCGTCGGCTTCTTTCTCGGTTTGACGACCGATAATTAATACTCTCGCGAAAGAAGCTATCGATCCTTTTATCTTCTCGTTCTGCTCGATTTTCGTGAACGGTGCTTCCGACTACGGTCCGTGTTTCGAGTTCAGGTTCTCGCTGTTCTGTTTGTTAACTTGCCTTATCCCGTTAAAGTTGTACGCTTTTCTTTACGCGTTGCTACCGTGCGACGATAAAAAGCAACGAGATAAAACGAGACAATCGTGGCGCAGCGAAAAAGAAAGAAAAACACGGTGCATTATTTGATAAAACGAACAGCTTGGCCAATCGGTAGCGTTTCTTTGGCGGATGGAAACGCCTCTTCTCTGTAACGTTGCCGAAGAAATGGAATTCTTTATCGCCTCCGTCATTGCCCTTTGCAAACTCGATCGGTTCCGAGCGTCTGCTCTTTTCGCTCTATATTCTCGAATCTCGTCCGAGGCGATCGCATAAACGAAAGAGATGATCCTTTTCAGCGAGTATCGGTTAGTCGCATCTCGAGGTAAACGCTCACCGAAGAAGTCACGCGATATCGCGTGCGATCTCGAAACGGGAAAAAGAGCAACGAGCACGGCTAAAGATGCCGACAGTGGCGATACCTTAAACGATTATTATGAAAACAAAACTTTGACGAATGACGTATTCAATGGCTCCACGCTATAGTCCTTCGCCGTTTACAACGTTGTAATTAACAGCCGCTATCAAATTTCGTCAGATTGTTAAACGAGAATGAATTTTACAGTAGCGGTTCGAAGCAGTAAATGTTCGCGTTACACCGCAAAAAATTCCTTCTCGATGCTTTATAACGACAAATAGGTAGACATTATGGATAGGAAGGAGCACATTATACAGTTGCGTTGCCTTTAATTATGACCTATAATTACTGCCTCTGATTATAGGGGTCTGTTACGGCAACGAAGGCGTTATCGTTCTTATCGTCGGAAGCAATTGAAACAGTCAACTTCCGTTGAATTCGTAGAACACTGCGCGGAATCGTTTTCTATGGAGCTATCAGAGTCCTAAGTCAACATCGCGTAACGCGTGTATCGTCGCGTATAGCAAACAGACATCGCTTTAGTTTGATCGAACGCACTCGGTTTAGATATCGAGCAGATCGCTCGAATCCGTCGTCGAGTTAACATAAGCCGAGTCCATTTCGGACGTTTACGATTCGACGACTTCGCTCCAAAGGACTTTCGCATTCGCTGCGACGACCGTTTGTAGTCCTCCTCGATAAGGAACCTCGAGATAACCTATCCGAGAAATTCGTGGCCGTTCCTCGAGATCATGGGGGCCGTACCCTCGCGAAGATGTCCCCATGGTAACGTCAGGGTGGAAGGAAAATCCTGCGAGCGTGCAAGCATCCCTCAACGTGCCTGGCAACACCGAGACTGATGCGTCGTTTCTTCGAGTTTATCGGCAGGTCACGAGCCAGTCTTTATCCTGGCTACGAAGTCCGCGATAGAAATTCGAAAACAGGGAAGACGATCGTTTCGACGGTTTCCAAAATCGTGTCCGGCGAAGTTGAAGTTTTAGGAGAAAGGATCTAAATTACAGGATAAATTACAGAATGAAAGAAAGGAAAGATAGATTCAGTATCTTGTTCAAAACGAAATGTCCGTACAGCGGTTCCGAAAGAATTCCGATAACGTGAAAAGTAGTACATAAAGCGCTGCACGAACTCTCGGAATTTCGTAAAGGAAATAAGAAACGACTAGTTGGCCAACGAATTTCCGGAGGTTGCACGAGGAAAACATGATTTCAAAGTTGCGAATAAACTTCCATCGAGGGCTGATTCTCGAACGTGGAACGCGCTCGATAACTTTATATTCGACGATGTTTCGGCTGGAACTTTGCACTTTGCCAGAGCGAGATGGTACGGTAACTTGTTGGCAAACCGCGAGCCAGCCAGCGACCGTCTATTCTCGAGTAGCTGCAGGCAATCAGCTTACCGGTGATCCGTAAACGGATTAGGCCAAGAAAACACGCTCCTCGGATTTACGACGACGATTTATCCCGGTTAGCCGAGTTTGCCGACCGATCCGTCCGTCGCCGATCCGCTTGATTTTTTTCCTCGGCGTTTTATGATAATTCAACGACCAGTCGTCGAGCAAACGAACGACCATGCGAAGCGAGTCGACCGAATTTTATGGCTCGATTACGCGAATTTAATCGCGAATCGTTTAATTCGTTACGAGTCCAAGTCCCGTGCGTCACCGGCTTTCCGGATAGATCTTTGGATAGACGGAAGACAAATTTTCGAGTTGTCGCTTTTTCAGTTCGTTCGACGACTAATCGACAATGCCCCGTTCTGTTTCAGATGCTGCGTTCGCAACAACGTTTTCCATCCTATCTGACCGGCGAGATCGTTCTCCGATTATGGTGAGTCAGAAAAGTTTCCGTCTAAAAATATTCATTATGAAATGTGTCGTAATTATCACATTAGCGCGATGAGTCGTTTTACGACTTCCCATTTGCCTGCTTGCGACATCTAGATTTTATCCTAAATTTTCTATTTACTTCTCCGCGTAGAGTCGTCCCGTTTCCGATTGTAGCTGCAACAACATCGCACCTCGTATACGTACATACCACAATAGCTGTAAAGCGATTTATAGAAAAAATGGCTAGTCAGTTGCGGCTAATATTCTACGTTTTATTTACTCTTATCATTCCCAACAATTTAAGCCATGACTCATTCGAACAGCCGGAGGACAGATTGCAACGTCTTCTTGTAAGCCGCTAAATGGGAAGTCGTAACACGAATCATCGAGCTAATCTATTCGATCGTTAGTATATTGTATTTCACGATGGACATTGTTCGATATCCGAAAAATTGAAACGCGTTCCGTGTCGATTCCGGCGAAGATTAAGGCGCGAAAGGTTGAACGGATAGGACAAAGAAAATATCGATAGGTAGCAGATGGCGATCGAAATAGTTGCAGCGACGCTTTCTTCGTCCCGAGATTGTACGCGCTCGATTTACCGTTACCGCTTCTCGGGATGTCGAGGAACAGAGTACAGCCTCTAATCTTACGGCACCGGTCGTCTAATTAAAAGCTTTGAGAAAAATTGCCATTTGCCTCGAACGGTAGATCCGCTGATAGGTCGACACCTTGACGGCGTCGCTTCGTGGCATTCTCGAGCGAGAACTCTGCACGCCGCGCCTACCGCTACTTGTACGCACGGTACAGTTACGCTTCCTTCGGATATCGCCTCTCTGGATGCCTTACTTTTTATCGATTTTATTCGTTCGATCTCGCTTTCGCGAACCCTGCTGCGTAACGCGATTCCGAAATCAGAATTACGGCGGTGCCGTAACGCGATTTCCTCACGATCGAAATTTCAAAATGGAATCCCTTTTTCGTCGAGGCCCGTTCGCGAGACGC